ATATATATATATATATATATATACATATATATATATATATATATATATATATATAGTCACCAATAATTGGCAATATAACACATAAAATAACAATATGCCACATCATTCAGGAGTTCCAAATGATTTGTAAACGTCTTTCAAGATAAAGAGAGCAGGGAAGAAAGGGAGAAACACTCCCTCTTCGTGTGGGTATGAGTGTGCGTGTAGGAGAGTGGGCGGGTAGGTAGGCGCACATGCTCATCTGTGCTTCCATCATCGCTTCTTCTGGCTGACTAACTCTAATGTCTCGAAAAAATGTGTGGGGTGGAAAGGAATAAAGGAAGGAAGGGGGTGGGGAGTGAGGGAGGAGTGCCGGAATGGCAACAATAATAAAGGATATGTGTGTGTGTGGTGGGAGATAGTGAGAGGAGGAGAGCAGTGAAACCTGTGTACAGTTAAGCCTAGGCGGCATTCGCAATCCCCAAACAAAAAAAAAGCTCGGCTTGTGTGGCCTCTCATTTGGGGGTCAAATGAAATTGCAGTAATTGATTGAATTCGTCGCGAATCGCCTTAATTGTTTCTCCAGTCTTCAGCTGCAAACTTCTCATAATATTGTTTCCTCTCTTCTCATTCCTTCTTTTTTCCTTCTTCCCCGCCGTGTCCACAAAGTCATTTTCCTTCTTTTTTTTTTTGTTTTCCTTTGCATATTTTTTTTATTTTTATTTTCTTTCATACTCCGGTCCTTCCTTCTTTTCTTTTTTTGTTCTCCCTCTCTCTTCTTTTCAAACAAATGAGCCCGAGTCCTTTTTTTCCTTTCTTTTTTCTCCCTTCCCCCCTCGCCACTTCTCTTTCCCGCTGAAGCATCGTGTTTCCTCCGGTGCACACTAAGTTGTATTATTTACGCTGTCTAGTTTTTCTTCGGTTTTTGCCCTCATCGTTTTTTTCTTCATCATTCCCTGGGAACTCTATCCTGCTGCACTCGGTATCGTTTCCTTGCGTTTGCGGGACGGTGGTCGCCCCCCTCCTCCTCCGCGTGGATCTCCCGCGTTCATACATACACGCCACCTCTTTTAGTTCCACTGCTGTGGGATAACTGGGTACATGTTCCCGCCTTGCATCTGATGTTGCTGCTGTTGCTGCTGCGGCGGTGGCGGGGGCTGTTGCTGCTGCTGCTGAGAGGGGTGTGGCAGTTGCTGCGGTTGCGGTGGCTGGGGAACACCATCCTCGTTGATAACCAGCGATATGGCGGGGTTGCTCGTCTTTATGTCGTCCATGCGCGAGAACTGAATGTCAAGGGTGAAAGTAACCGTGTCGCCAATTGTTACGGGTTGACCCTGCAAAATACTTTTCACGTTTTCCGCAGTCGTTTTGCTGTCAAACTGCACCAACGCCTGAACACGGTTGTGGTTACGATGACTGGATTCATTCTTGGGCAACACCACAATCTTCTGCACGCTACCGTAATTGCCAAAAATTTGATACACAATCATGGGAGTGATTTGCGCCGCAGCCGAAACGTCATACTGGGTGTTAAACATAGAAACCAGTAACGTCTTGCTTGTGTGTTGAGTCGCAGTAAGCGACTGATGATTACTGTAACGGATGTACACGCGTCGACCATCAATTTCGGCGTAGCCTGTTTGTCGGAAAAAATCCACCAACTGTTGTGCACTTTTGGTGGACTCCATCTCTACGAGTGCCTGGTTCATCTGACGAAGCATAACAATGTGTTTAATGTTTCCAAAGTTCTGGACAAGATTCTGAATGCTCAGCTGCGTCACGTTGGGGGTAATGTTACGCATATGAATGACACGGCTCACCTCGCCGATCTCGTTATTGCGCTGACGCGACGGTTGGCGCTGTCCCATGTTCCGATTGGCCTGTGAGGCATCGTAGCCACCACGGTTAGAGTTGTTGTAGTTTGACACCATGCCAGGAGCCGTTCCCTGCGGAGGAATCGGTGGCTGCATCACACCCTGATAGGGCATCATGTTAGGCGTGCCATACAGGCCATTCTGAGGAAACTGCTGACTGTACATTCACACGCACGAAAAAAAACACACTGTCTGTGCGGCGAACAAATGAGAGAAAAAGACGAGTGACAAAGGTAGAAAAAAAACACGCTCCTGGTGTGAATGTGTAGGTGTGCGGGGATATTATCTGTCTGAGGTCGAAGTAGGACCCAAAGAAATGCAGCTGATAACTACTTTTCACTAATGGGTTCTTTCAACACGCAAGCCCTTAACTGATGGGAGTCCATAAAAGGAAAAATAACAAAGTAAAGAAAATGACGCGCAACAGAAAGAAATGGCGGTGAAAAAGAAGAAAAGCAAAGCCAAACATCACACATCACATGAGAGTACTCTCTGTGCCCCCTCCAAGACAAATAAAGAGAACAAAAAAAAAGGATACAGAACACAGAGAACTCGAAAAAAGAAATAAATAAACCATTATGTTTTATTTTTTGTATTCAATAAAAATACAAATAAACACATGCATGGGGCATTACTGTTTCCCTCTTCTTTTCTTTTTTTACCTCTTTGCTCAACCATTCTATCAGTCTATAAAAAGGCCCTGTTAAGCTCTGCAAGACGCTTAGATGTGTGTAGTGCAAGTGTTTCCCGTCGCTTGCTGTCCCTACCAGATGAGGGGGCTTTTCTCGTGCTGTGCTTGGGGGCCACTGTCAACGCTTTTGATACATTGACAGTTTTTATTGTCATTGCGGTTGTCGCGCCCGACTCGATTGCCATTGAGCGGTGGCGTGGTGCAGAAGGAGGAGAAGCAGTCTTGCATCCGTCATTTGCGCGCCGCGTCTTCCCTGCGTCGGCAGGCGGTATGTACATGAAAAATCGCTCCGGTACTCGCTGGGATGGCGAAGTGACCCCCGCCCGAGTCCTAGCAGGTGTCATGCTTCTCCTCGCCGCTGATTGCCTAAACGAGGACTCAGCCGCCGTATAAATATCGCCCAAGTCCACCACCGGACTTGAGAGCGAAGCACCTGAACGACGCTGCAATGAATTACCCCGCCTGCCCATAGATGGTGATGGATCTCGGCCAATAGAAGCAGTCTTCGCTCGGTGAGAGCGGAAAGCTGGTGTGTGCAAAGCCCCACTTGGAGTTTCTGTGGTGCCGGGGTTAACAGGAAGTGAGTCCTTCCGAAGAGTTTCCTCCGTGTGGGACTGAAACACATGATCTGAAGCTTGTTCTTTTGAAACAGGAAGAGGAGCCGGCGGCCCAAAACCAGGGAAACCATTGCACTCAGCCTCAACTTTTTCACCTGTAAAAGCAAACTGGCGAGGCGGCAAGGTCTCCCGTGCCCCCCCCTCGTTACCCTGCCCGGTAGTTCCACTCTCCACAGTGGAGGAAACAAACACATGTTTGCCAAAAATTTCCTCCGACTCGGACAGGGCATGCCACTTTAAAGTATCTTTCATGCTTTGGTTAGCCGCAGATGGAGGATCTGCCGCAGTGGAGTTCAGAACTGTAAGCTGCTGCTCAAGAGCGGCGGTTCGCTGACGCATTGCATCCACCATTAATGATCCTTCAACAGCAGACGCGTACGCGTTATTCAGTGAGGCGTGCTTATGCAGCACGGCCCGTGACTCCTGAATGGCTCGTTCCATATCACCAGCTGTAGCATTAACGCGCAACAGCTCAGCATTTAGTTGGTAAAGACTAGACAAACTATGATTGATGCTCATAGTAGAGGAAGGGTCCGGGACCATATTCTTCACACCGCTGCTAGTCTCATCAGTCACCTGAGGCGCTGGTGTCATTCTTATTGCTGTTGTCACTGCTGCTGCTGGTGGTGGTGGTGCGACTGGTGTCACCGCCATAGTGGCTGCATCTTCCATCCTCTTCACGCCTACACCAACTTGGACGCCAGAAGACACGGTTGCAACCTCACTTTTCTTTGCAGGGGTCGTAGTGGCAAGCTGCACAGGAACGGCCAGAGAAACTGTTGGTTGTGTTACCTGACGCGTCTTTTCACTGTCTACTAAAATGTGTGGGGAAGCAAATGATGTGGCTTCATTCTTCACTGGAGCTGCAGTAAGACGCTCAGCCCGCGCATGAAGGTCCAACAAATCTTGGTTCATCATCAAAAGCTTGTCTTTCTGTTGAATCGTGTGGCGTACCAACGCTGCCTGCTCTGTCGCGTTCAACCCTTGTGTTTGCTGCACAGCAACTGGAGCACTCACCACAGGCGTAGGTGGTCTCTGTGTGCTTGTTCGAATCGCCTCAATAACACCATTGAATTGTTTTGCCTGCTGTTCCTCGTGCTTAGCGAGTAGCTCCTTCACAACTCCAATAATATCGCGTTGTTGCTGTTGCAGGGACTCAGGAATTTTTGAAGTGACTCCAGTAGGCATGACAGGCGGCGTTGACGCAGGCAAAGACTGCGCAGGATGGAGTGGAAGAGGCACAGGGACGGCAGCAGTGTCTGCAGCCTTCAGTTCGTCCACGTACTTGTAAAATGCGGCCGTTTCCGAAAGTGGAAGCACCGGCTTCTTCAACGCAAACACAGTCGGAGAGTCCTCAACGGAAGCTGGAAAAATGGATCGCGATGTGGTCGGCGCCAACGCCACTTGTTGTTTTGATGACTCCCTCAACTCTGCTTCCTCGTTCCTCATCTCGACCGGCGCAGCAGCACCACTCAGCATGAATCCAGCGGAGCTCTCGTGGTGAGCAAAAGGTGGCATCGTCGAAGGGGCATTCGATGTCAACGAAAGTGCGGTGGTACTTGTGGGAAGGTTCTGCTGCTGTTTTAACGAAGCAGAAGTGATAGGCACATTCACGGTGGGGGCAGGGATAGGGCCCAATGGCTCCTCCGTGTCTCCCACACGGCGTTCTTCTTCTTGCAGTGAGCGTGGTACCGCGGCCTGGGAAACCGGTTTCCGATGGGTTGCATCTACGTTTACTGGAAACTTGAGCGTGAGCAAAGGAGACGGACTCAAAAACACAGAACTTGGCGGCAAGCTTGGTGGCTCCAACAACTGCGAATGCGACGATGTTCCTACAAGAAAACCATGTGGTCGGTCCGGTCCGACATTCTTCGCGCCGGCACCGTTTCCTTCGACCTCAGCATCATTGGTTTCAGCTCCACTCCACGCAAACAATTTCACGCGAGGCCTGTGTGGCTTTGCCTTAAGCGAGAGAAGCTGCAGTGGTGCCACGTCGTTTGTGTCTTCTGAAAGCCGTGGCTGTACAAGTTGTATCTTATCCGTTGGGACCACACTCGATGGCAGATTTGGTGGTTGAAGCACATGCTTAAATTGCAGAAGCTTAACATTCATCGCTGCCTCCTCTTTGATTGCAGCCAGGGAACTGACTTCTGGTGACCGCATCCCCGCTGGAGCATTTCCATGGCGAGACTGTCTTCTCAAATGATACCACTCTTTGGTGTGGATCCCATGCGCCCGGTGTTTGGCGCAGCGGTAGTGGTGCACATGATGTTTTCTGCAACGACGCGGCGAAAAACTCGACGAGGAAAACTTTCTGTCAAATTTCTCAGAAAGATTATCCCCGCCCTCACTTGTTGCTCTTGTGTACGACGTGGCAGTGGTGGTAAATTCAGGGTTGATGTCTTGCAGCGTCTCCCTAATGACGCGCTGCCGCCCCGCGGCCTCGTCGAGTGCGTCATCTGTCTCCCACCACGCAATGCTTTCGGGTGGAAACAACGCCGTGGCCGCAGCGGCAGCGGCGCTAGTATCACCACCTTTGGTCAAAAATCGTGGCAGTGATCGCACCTCTCGTACTGGCGGAGATAACAAAGTCGATGCACCACCTACCAAGCCATCATCATTTCGCTCCAGATAAGGGGAAGACTCCGCATGTGGCCCCGCTTCAGGGGATGTTTTCCGACGCAACATTGATGGTGCAATCGCCACAGAGGTTGAGGCCGTACTGGAAGGGGCCATGTGATCCCCGGTGCGTCGAATTTCTTGAGGATGGTTTAGCTCAGAACGCTTCGCCCCTTCGGATGCCGCTTCAATGGGGGCTATCAAGGCATGGTTGCGCACCGGCGGAGAGAGCTTGCACAGTTGGTGGAATAGTGAGTAAGAAAACTGCGGCGAGGGCTCTCCCTCCGCCGGACGAATTGTGGTGTTGCAGCCGCAAATACGTTCCTGTGTCCGCGTAAGACAGTCCGCAAGCAACTGGGGAACAAACTCAATCGGCCACATGGCGTCCACCCACTCGGTGTTGATCAAATACCGGCGGGTAAGCAAGTTGTGATTGCCCGGCCATTCGGGAACAACCGCACCGCCGCACTTGGACCAACGGAAGTACGTCGTGGTTTTTGTGGTTGTGGGGGAGTTCTTCTTCTGTACCGTTATCTGCGCTTGCAGCTCGTGAAAGGCGGCGCCCGCTCCAGCGTTGCCGTCTGCTTGTGCAACCTCTGTAAGGTGATCCACTACAGTGTAGTAGTACTGCTTAAGTGGTGCAATGACTGTCAAAGCAGCCTCTGAGTATTGAAGCATCTCCCGCATGAATCCGGCCAGTCCAGGTGTACCAGTGCACATCGGCAATGCCATCGCCGCGAGATCCACACACCGCCATCGGAGAGAGTCAACCGGCAGCGCAGTCCCTTTCAGGTTCGTAATGGCCTGCAGCAGCAAAAAAGCAACGTGGACAAGCACCGAGGTATCACCTGCCACTTGTTTTGTCAGCTCCGTGATGTGTTCCTCAGTCCGATACGAGTACCCAATTAGGGCCAATAAGCGAAAGCATAAAATGCAAGTGTGAGAGACAACGGAATCACCACAAATCGTTTGTCCGTCGTGATTTCCATCCTGCTCAGCACCATTGATAGTGAGCACGCTACTCGCGATATCTTTTACCTTGTACGGCAACCATGGAGCAGCGCAGGCCCAAGCATGCTCAAGTCGCTCCAATATGATCCCCAGCCTCTTTCGGCATGTTTCCACCGTCACCTCCTCCTGCAGCGGATTCTCCAGCCCCTCTTTCAAAAGCGCCTTGGCCACACTCGCTGAGTAGTTGTTTTGGGCTGCAATCATCCGGTCCGTCATCGCGTGAATGACCGCGACCACAATAAAGAACTGTGTATCCTTGCTGAGGACGTTGCCGATGTAACACCAAAGTTCCGTGTTGAAGTAGTCATCAAGCACGGATCCAGCACAGAGAACACAAAGAACGTCTGACGGTACAGGTTCGGAGAGAATCTTCTTGAAGAGTGCAGCCTCCGTAAGGAAGGCCGCCGCTGAGCACTCCGTAATAAGCTGGGCATTGTCGCAAATAGAGCCAAGTGGCATCAAGTACTCCGTCAAGGGAGCGGTAAAAATACAAAGGAAGGCAGAGACCACATGATATCGCCTCGACAAGAGCATTGAAAGCAATGCTCTCGCAGACAAAGTTGCGTGCGTGTCTGGAGAGGTGACAGAAAGAATGTCCGTAGAAAGCGTCAGAGCGTATTCAAACGTCGTGCGATTCTTGAAAGAAGATGGCGGTAGAAAAAGAGAGGTATCTCCCACTTGATGCATTTGACAGACCATTCGCCCCGCATCATCCTTGTTCACGTACACCGGCACCTCCAAACAGGAGGCCAGTAGAGCCGTTGCAATGGCGTGGATAACATGAGACACGCGTTCCCCCACAGACACCACATGCGTCCCGTTTGATAAAGTGGTGACCACAACCATGCGGCGCACGCATTCCTCCGCAAGTGAAATAAGTGAAACACGCTCTGCCAAACTATCAAGTACAAACGAGACGTCCTCATCCTGCTGCTGCATAAACCGTTTCCATGCACACTTTAATTCCTCGGAGACAACACTTAAAAGGGTCTCACTTGCTTGCGCTTGCTCATCCACTGTCCCGTTACAACGGACGTAATTATCTACCAGATGAATAAAAAAGATGTCTGTATACACAACACAGTTATCCAAATCCCTCTTTGAAAGGATTCTCTGCAACAGCATGGTGATACCCCACATCGTCCTCCAATCCGATGCCGAAGTTGGGGCAGCGGCATTTAAAAGAGCCTGAAACACTCGCTGAGTCAGGAAGACTTCATGCTGAGAAGATCCGGCGAGGCGAAGCATCGGCAGAACCTGCTGAAATGTAAGCTGAAGAAGCTCACTTCGGCTCAAATTCGATACCTTTTCAAGGCGTGACAGACTTTTCAGGAGCGTTACGACACGCCTCTCTGACGTTTCATTCTCAATGGTTAAGGGAATGAGAAGTTCGCGCGGCATCTCCCCATCAATGGCAAGTGCGGCCACCCGCAGCACCACAGCCAAGAGTCCATTGGAGCAGAGAAGCTCACTTTCTCCAACCCGTATAAGACATGGGGAGTCCGTAGAGCTTTCCACAGTGTGGTCACTGCCAAAGCAACTTCTTGCTGGAGGCGTAAAACGAACTGTGTTGTCTCCGTTCTCCACCACCACGTTAATGGCGCTACCAAACACCTCTGCAGCATAAATACGGTAGTCTTGTGAAAGTACAAGAACTATTTGTAACCCGCCCTCTGACCGCGAGGGGTGCATCAGCCTTAGCCATAACACGCTGTGTGGGAGACTTTGCAACCCAATCTTGGTACACCCGGCTACAAGCTCCATATTAAAGGGGGATCGCCGTAAGTGCACCAAGTAGCTCTGCGAGGCAAACGAGACAACTATGGCGTAGCGCTGCTGCTCATGGTCAGCGTATATGCGGCAGAGAGGGGCAAGGCGTGCACCGCCTTGCCCCTCAGGCGGGTGGAAGAGCTGACTTTGATACCATACTCGAATGATTGGGTCGCCGTCATCCAACGAAAAGATGGTTTCACGAAGCACCACGCAGCACTGCACCCCTGCAGATTGCACTGACAAGTAAGTCTTCTTCTCATTATCATCGGAGACCATACGTGTCGCCTCAAAGACTGAGAGCGCCAACTCCACTGTTGGGGACACTGTCAAAATCGTGTGGTCGACTGGAGGACCCACCTCACAGCTAAGCACCGAAACAATACGATCGCTTTGAATACTGAGCAAAGCGGATAGGCCAAATGCGGCATCCAAACAAAAACACTTCCATTTGTTCGCCCCGATGGAACCAATGATGAGGTATCGTTCCCCACCACGGGTAGAGACCAGCAGACTTACCACTAGACCTGAAGCTGTCAGCTTTAAGCTTGAGCAATGAATCTGCAGTTGCGCGGTTGTTTCGTTACTCTTTTTTTCGCACGGCACTAAAGGTATGAGAACGGCATCCAGGTCGTCGCTGTAGTCTACAGGATCCCCAGCAAGGTGTGTCGCGTTGAGCGGGTTGAACTGCACAATGGCTAGACCCAAGCGCCTTCCTTTGTCATGATGAAAAAACAACGCAGTGAAAAGACCATCACTGGCCGTGTCAACGATACGTGACGAGTACTTTCCTGCTCCTCGCAGTGTTGTGATGCCTTTGTGCTCACACCACACACGAAGCTTGCTCCTCTTCTCGTCCAGAAATACCGCGGCAACCTCGGGTTTTTTCCCCTCCACAGCACCAACGCGGCGAGAAGCCACAACGCGGGCGTATCCCGGCTTCTTACCGGAGCCCAAACAAAGCTGTGTGAATGGTGCAAAGGTGATGACGTTCATGGGCCAATTTCAACGCTGACTACACAGAAAGGGGGTACCTTGGATGAAAATTAGTGGGTTATTTTTGTGGTATTGGCAAAAGAAACGGGGGAAAAAAAATGTCAAAGAAAAAGAATAGCTGCGGTGCAGTACATATGCATGCCGACAACAACAAACGCATAAATGCGACGTAGCACGGCCTTTCGCGTCCCCTACGCATTCCTTTTTTGATTTCCTTTTCTTTTTCCTGCTCTTTGTTGCGTCCCCGTTGTTGCTGACGGGGATGGTGGTGCTGATCTGTTCGGCCGGTGAATATTCACGTACTCCACGCAACACGCTTACGGAGGGTTACAATGCAGTTCTCTTCTCCCTTAGCCACGCGATCATTTCATCCCGCGATGCCTGCGGATGAAGCATCGCGTACCTTCGGAGTGTTACCAGTGCGTGTCCAATTTGTGGGGGATCAAGCGGGATGAGTTTTGAGAGCTCGCCGCCCTTCAGTGGCAGCGGACGCGTCATGGCATCCAGCAGTCCCGCCTCCCGCTCCAATGCGGACCACATATCGCTAATGATATCGGCCACTGCACCGACATCGCTGGAACCCAAAAGCTCACTTCGATGTTCAAGGAGCAAGTAGGAGGAAAGAACAATTTTGAACGCTGACAAAATCATTCGCTTGTCATTCAGATCACTCAACCCCTCAAACAGAGCGAGTTTTGTCGAATGTGTCACCCCTTCACTGGTGATGCCGCGCATGTCCAGTCGATGTTGGAGAAGAGTTTTGTGGCACTCAATCATGCGCCGTAAGGTATTGTAGCAGGCGAGTGACAACTTGAGCCCATTCACACACAACACGTAGAGGCGCTCCGTCAGCTGCTCACGAGGTGTGCTGTAGTAGAGTGGCAAGCATAAAAGAAAGAGCACGGCCACCAATTTATCGGATGGTGAAAGTAACAGCAATGGAGAGTCGCTTCTCGAAAATAGAGGCGTCAGTGTCCGGTTCAGCGCCACGAGGCTCTCAAGTTTTCCTGCCGCAGTATCACCGGAGATCAAATATTCTATTCTCTCCACTTCAGCTGTAACTTTGCCCTTCTTGCTTCTCTTCATGTAAAGCTCTGCCAGCAAAACGTGCTGGAGAATGCCCATTTTTAAAAGAAGATCCACACACCTTTCAGGTGATGGGCCTGAGAACATCTTCACCAGCTCCTTCCCAATACGCTCCCGTGATACCTTCGCTGTGACCTTCTCAAGGAGCCCCTTGTTCACACAACGCACAACTGAATCATCAAGTGTAAAATTAAGTTCGCCTAATTGACCCACAAAACGAATTCCGCGTAATAAACGTAATGGATCATCGCTAAAGGTCTCTGACGGGTCCAGCGGGCAGCGCAGCACACGATGCTGTAGATCCTCTAGACCCGTTGTGTAGTCTTCCACCTCCATCGTGTGTAGGTTATAGAAGAGTGCATTGATGGTAAAGTCACGCCGCAACGCGTCCTCAAGTGGGGTGGCAGGCCGGACCTCTGGAATACGTGAATCTGGCCTCGTGTATTCATCATGACGCAATGCACAGAACTCAATGGGAATGTCATATACACACACCGTTGCGGTTTCAATATGCTTAGACAACTCCGGATTGACTCGGATAACGCTCACCGTGCGTGCAGCCATGCCTACCGCCTGCTGATACACCGCGACCTCACGCGCAAAAAGTTCTCCGGAAACATGCCCCAAACCGGAAGACTCAATGGCGATGTCAATGTCCTGCGAGTGGAAACCTAGCAGGACATCCCTTACCCACCCACCAGCAACCCGAAGTGTTGCACGAATGCCGCGCTCCTCATTGACGCGAAGAAGAAAGGCAAAGATACGTTTGTGTGCCGCCGCTATCGGCTTGTCCAGTTTAACTTTCTTCGGTGACAGCATCAACTAGGACCATACGTTGAGGCGCAAAAGCACGCGAGAGTAGGCAAAGGTCAGAAAGAGAAAAAAAAATGAAATGCTGTCACGCCAAAGCCTAAGCAAGCTCACACATCACGCATACAAGGTATGAGACTATGGGGGAAAGAAAGGGGAAATGTGAAGCAATGACCCCATCCATGCAAAGCCAAAAACACGCACAAAAAAGGATGAGTCGAGGAAACAGAAAAACGCTGTTGTCTTCTTGTTGTTGCTTTTTTGTTCCCTCAGCTGCGTCATCCACATCGATTTGTTACATCTTGCTAACTTTCGGCTGCGGCAGGTGCGGCAGCGGCGGCAGCAGCAGCAGCAGCAGCAGCAGCATTCACTCGAACAAGGTCACGCAGCTTCAGACGCCACTCCACATCAATTTTAGTATTGTCTATCCCAAGCTCACATACCTTGGGATTATCCTCCAAAAGCCGATGAAGCTGAACAGCAGCGCCCTCACTGATATAATTATCGGAGACATCAATGCTCTTCAAAGAGGGATGCTTCACAGCAGAGTTGCACAGTGCAGCAACGGCATTGTTACGCAGACCATTCTCGCTAAGAATGATATCGCGCAGATTGCTGCATCGATCCACAACGGCTAGCAGAGGAATGACCCCCCTGTCTCCCAAATAGTTGTGGCTAACGTCGATGGACTCTACACTGGCAGACTCTTGGTAAACGGAAAGGAGGTCAATCAGACCGCTATTCGGACTCAGGCCTGCCTCTGCACAAGCCCTGATGTATACCTCGCGCGGTGCAAGCTGTCGGACGCGGGCAGACCTGCCGCTCTTCTTTACCGACGGTTTTACAGGGCGAAAGGGCATAGTCTCCCGCTTGCTATGGTGCAATCGTGCACGTTGAGGCAGCGTGGTGGGGAAGAGAGAATGACAGGCAAAATCACATTCGAAGGGAAAGCTAGGGGTGAAATCGCCTAAAAACAGCTTGAACTGAAAATGGCGCCTTTATGCAAGCATGCAATTATCGCAACTCCATATGCCACAGATTCGTAACAGACATACATACATATACCGTTGTATATCATTACGGTGGCAAAAATAACCAACAAAAACTAACGGAAGTACAAACTCAATAAATAACTAAATAAATAAATAAATAAATAAAAGGCATGCAATTGCTTCATTTTTGCCACCCCAGCTAAGTATTCAATAAGGCGTGATCCTCTGCCTCTTTTGCTTAATTTGAAGTGACAGTTAGGAAAATGTGTGGGGGCGCCACGCGAAAAATAAAAAAACGGTCACACACACGCACAGAAACAAACCTCACACCGCACGAAGAGCCATCCCCTAAGTTATTAACTACGGTTTTCGCGTTCAATAGTTCCACCACATGGTCGGGCATGAATCCTTTATCATTTCCCCCCTGGAATTTACGCACCGGTAAGGACGTCGTGTTGCCGATACAACCATACATGCAGCGCAGAGGCATCCCACACCACAGAAAACAGTCGCCGCGTAAAAGTGATTTAATGCATTCCTCATTGTCCTTTCCCCACGAGCAAAAGTGTTTTCCTCATGCCCCATCGGCTCCTTGATCAGCTGGTGACCAAATCGGCGGCAGGAGCGACGAAGCATGGCTCAGAGAATTTCTATATATATATATATATATAAATATAAATATATATGTTGCTACTTGGAATTTTTTTCGTTACTTCTGCCTCTTCACTGGGTGAAGATGAGGTGCACCAAAAATATATTTAAATGGTGCCAAAAATCACACTAAATGTCGAGGAAAATCTGACGAGCGTCCTTGCCTTAGCTCTATTTTGTTAAAAGAGTGCTGGTGAAGAGGAAAGATCAAAAAAAAAAGAACGAAAAGAAAAAAAAAATACAAACAGACAAGGTGAAAGAGAAAAAGAGAAAAGGACACCCCACAAAGAGGCAGAGCAGACGTGTAGCCTCCCTGTGTTGCGTTCATTTGAAGTCCGCAGAAGCAGGCAAATGAGGAAACACACGGGCTCCACACACTCCAGAAAGCGAACTTACCTTGAAAAAACGGGACTCCGCTAAAATAAAATAAAGAAAAAAAAAGTACCGGGAAGATGTAGACGCATGAACACAGAATCACTGCCATTCTATTGAGGAGTTGGTGCTTAGTTCGATTTCCCACACTCGCTCTTATTAGTTTCATTGACGACTCTCGTTAGTTGCTCAATTGCGCATGGCCAAAGAGCCAAAGGAAAACGTCGCTCAATTCTGAAGTACCCCGATGGTGTCAACGCCTGGTTTTTAAGTTGTCTATAAAGCTTTTCTTTTTCAGGTGTGGAGAGAGGGTGCGCCGTTGGCGCGGGTGTGGGTGCTGGTGTGATGTGTTTCTGGATAAAAAAATCATCGTCGTCGCCGCCAAGAAGATCAACCCAACGCGGAGGCTGAACGGCCTTATCTTGTCCTTCCGTGGTCACTGGATGCAGCTCCGCGTGCCGTTGGAGGGCATAGAGTTTGGCCTTCTTCGGAAGCGCTTGGTACTCCTCCTCGACAAGACTCAGTAATGGTTTAATATCCATCTCCCCCTTCGCCAGGGTGAGATTGTCGTCCATGTCCACAACAATGGCCAGTAACGTGGGGTAGAGAATATGGCATGCTGAAGTAAAATACTGAAACGGTAAGGCCGAAAGAATTCTAGAGAGTAATGATTTGCCTTTTCCCCAGGCAAACATGCCTTGAATCTGCTTGTCCTGTATACAGAGGTAGCCAATGAGGAGGAGGCATTCGTGGAGTGCAGCCCGCAGGTGATAGGATTGACGGGTCGATGCGAGTGGTAACCCCGTCGTGGGGCTGTTTGAGGACTGTGGGGATGGAAATGGCGGGATTTGTTGCAACGTCACGCCGAACTTCAGTGCATTCTCAAAGGTTCCATGCACACCTTCCCCTGTAATGTTCTCACCTGCAATAGTCTCAAGTAAATCGGCATGAGCCTCAACATATGCGAAGAAGCCACTAAGCACGTGAAACAGTTCTGTTTGTGTAATTACATTTGTTGTTTTGGCTGACATCGCTTTTGGGTCTACGTAAACATTCGAGCTAGCGTTTTCAATAGGAGAGTCATGTAAGACTTCCTGTAAAATCTCCAGTCGCCAACGTGCAAGGCAGTTTAGGACTCGAAACACAATAAAAACGATTGCGATGCGCCGGGCACTGAGCAACGGGCTCGTCTTGCTCAAAGGGCATCCATCAGGGGTCAGAATATTCTCAAGAAGAGTAAAAAAGGCACATGATACTTGCCGAAACCATACTGTAGGGCAATCACCCTTTTTTTTACTCAAGATACAGGCCTGGGAATGTATGAGTCGGGTCGCACTGTAGACAACTTCTAAATCCTCCTCCCCTGTGCATGCCCGTGAAACGGCAACACAGTACTTACCAATACATGCTGCATCCAGATCGGCCAACAACTGGTCCCGAACAGTAATAAGTTTAACATTTGTTTGAGCATCTATGGCAATACGTTCGAAACAGAGTTGTAGTATTTCAAGTGAGGCCATGAGTGGAATGGAGTGACTGTGACGTTTTAGGCCTTTTATCTCATCACGAATGCAGACTAACAGTGGAGCAAGGTTTCCTGATAGAATAAACACCAACACATGTTTTTTGCCCTCTTTACTATCGGTAAGAAAGCGCAGTAGAACAGTACAGGCCAGGCGAAAAGTCACCACATCATTCGCCCGACGAGCATCCATCATCACACGCGTAAAACTCTCATAGGCGTTAAAGTAGCGCACGTATTCATGATCAATGTCAGCAAACTCCGCCATCCCCAGTAGATCATGAAGTGGTTGACGACACTGCACCAGTGAGGCAGGCGCTGTGTGTGAGCCCAGCCGGCTAATGATCGATCTTAACTTACTTCGATTTAGATCCTTTGCACTGGTGGTACTTTCCTTCTGATAAGTTTCCATATAACTTTTCCCTTGTCGCGCAGTAACCGCCATCACCTTTGCTAATTTCTGAGCCAATTGCTCCTCTTCCTGCGGTGGAATGACTGGCATGAGCTCCTGGACGGTGGGCCTGGCGTCAGCTTCACGCTCCTTGCGCTGGCGCGCCTCTCTTATCTTTTGCTCCTGTTTTGCAAGCTTCTGACGCAGCATCTCTCGCTTCTCCTCCCTTAACTGTACACTTTGTTGAATACGTTCCTCCGCTTTCCGACTGCGCGCCTCTGCCTCGGCGCACGCATCCTTCTGTCGTTGTTGCGCCCTCTTCTCCCATTCTTCCGCTCGTTGCTCCTTCAAATCCTTTTCAATCTTTTTCTGCTCCTCAAGACGCCTGAAGTTCTCCCGTCGCTGCTGCTCACGCTGCTGCTGCCGCTCAATGCGCTCCTGGCTGAGATTTTGCCTTCGTTCGGCGACGGCCTGCATGGCCTCGTTGCGCTCCTGCGCAATCCGCTGAAGCTCCTCTCGCTTTTGTTCCTGGTTGTGCTCTACCTCCGACATTTTGCGATCAAGCAAAATAGCCTTCGTTTGGTGTCGCAGCTCGTAGTTAAGTCGCACCTCCTCCACACGTGAATTGCCCCTTCTCGCACGCTCCTTCGTCTGCTCACGCGCCTCCTCGACGCGGCGGGCCCCGTGCTCTTGTCGCTCCAGTGTGTCATTTCTCAACCGCTCATCGGCCTGCGTACGCCGCTGCTTCGCCTGCACGCTTCGTTCCCCAGCAGCCACCAGCTTTGACTTCTTCTCCTGCAACTTTTCCAGTCGCCGCTCTTCCGCCTTGCGCTGCCGCTCCTCACTGCGGAGAGCCGAGGCTTGCCGAGCCGCCTCAACCTCGTCGCGTCGCATCAACTCACTCCCCATTCGTTTCGGGGATACTTTTTTGCTCTTTGGTGAACACAGCTGCTGCAGACATGACAGCGGCGCAGCTTCACTCTCGGCATGATCGCCGTCGTCAACCTCACGGCCTGTCGGCGAAACGCCTCCCAGACGAGTGGAGCTCAGGTTCAACTGCCGGCGACACTCAATCCTCCGATCAACCTTAATCGTTTTCAGAGCCCGCAGTCCCTCTTCCATGACGCTGATGGAGTCGTCTACTGAAAGCGCACTTGCGGTGTTTTCTAGCGCAAAAACCACATCATTAATAGCCGCCTTGAGCTTCCCAAGCAGATGAAACGCTGTCAAGAGGGAGCCATCCTTTGTACTCGCATGTTGTGGCTGATAAACACAGCCAATATCATCCGTTACACATTGCGTCTCAAATGACCTTTCGGTACTGCGCTCACAAGCAGCTTTTGCCTCCATCTTTCAATACACTAACCTTGGACGACAACAAAACTAAATAATAATGAGCGCATCAACCATGCAACACGCAAATGCATAAGTCAAAACTGAGTATAATACTAAAGTAAAAACATGACGTGCTAGTGAACAGCACGCACAGAGACCCACAACACGCACATAAGCATGCCATTAATACCCACAACCATTCTTCTGAACGACAACCAATCCAAGTCAAAATAAATACAAAGCAACAAAAAAAAATCAAAAAGTATATTTATATATACCTTTATTTATACTACGCACAAAAAAAAACACAACAATAGCAACAGATAAAATAATAATATCAATAATAGCAAATAAATAACTCTCATTCACCACTTAGTCCCCTCCTTTACAGACAAACCACGGCATTAAAAGCATTTGTTGTGCACAATACTCGGACCGGCCTCGTCATACTCACTCTTCTTGATCCACATGGTCTGGAATGTCGTGAGGGATGACAGGATGGAGCCACCAATCCATACGCTGTACTTCCGCTCCGGTGGTGCAACCACCTTCGGTTTGATGGAAGAGGGCGCAAGGTTGCTGATCTCCTTTCCAAGACGCTCAGGAAGGTTCTTGAACATGGTGGTCCCGCCAGAAAGTACAATGTTCCCGTACAGGTCACGACGCACGTCGATATCACACTTGTTGATGGACTGGAAGGTCATCTCATGGAACCCAGGAGCTTCATCGAGACCAATCAGCATGGGCTTAAAGACCGCCTCGGGGCATCGGAAGCGCTGGTTACCCACCTGCATGACTGTGCCGTCTGGC